TAATCGAAATGAAAAGCCTTTAAGAATTCAGTGATTACCTGTTGTATACACCATCTTTCGTCCCCATAAATAATTATATGATTATATAATACATATATTATATGATATATAATGTTAGTTACATATTTTTCTTTTTTTTACAGGCCCAATGAAACCCAAGTGAAGAGGCTACACAGTAGCCTAAACCCGTGGCCCAGTAGTGACCCAGTGGAGTTACCCGAATAGACCCGTGAACCGGCCCGCTGAAGCACCCGAACCGGTCCAGCTAGAGTTTGAAAACCCTAGCTCCTCACTTTCTTTTGGCGCCGCATATTCCCACCTGAGGACTCATCATGCTCCACGCCTTACCAACGCCACCGATTTCCTCAGCAACACGAAACCAACCATCAACAAACAACGTTAGCCGAGTGTTTTACATAGAATCAAACACTCAAAATAGAGTCTAAAATAGGGCATTTTGTACCTATAAATAAATGTAAATCGAACACCATTGTACATACGATTAATATTAAATACACAAAGATAAATCACCCTAAATACAAGAGAGTATACCAAAAGTTTGCAAAGGTGTTCAAAGCATATTTTGTAATTTTTTTGAAGTGAAATAAAGGTATTATTTCTTTTTACCTTTGATTCGGTGGGTTTGTGGCCTGCATGTTGCACCTCTTTTTGTTGCTTTCATTTAAAAAAAACTCAATCGGGCGATGAACATAAGAGAAAAATGAGATATTCTCTCTTAGATCTACGCTCCCTCGATCTACGCTCCCCCGATGCTTGGTTTTGAAAAAAACTTTGATTTTTGAAAAGTATGGAAATAAAGCTTTCAAAAAAATTAAAATTTTTAAGGTTTGCCGTCGATGAACGGCGACCGACGAGGTGATGGGGTGTCCGATTTCTGAAAATCGTGGACGTGTTCTTCAAGAGTGAAGAACACTCAAGAACAAAACAGAGAAATTGGGTGTGGGTGGTTTGATCGGTTTTGAAAGTGAATGGAAATATGAGATTTGTTTATGAAGTTGGCTTATATACATGACCCATGGACCAGCGAGTCGACCCGACCCGAGGGAAGGATCCGTGCGTTTTCGTTTGAAAGTGGGCAAATCCCCACTTCGGTCCCCTATTTTTTTAACCATGCGTTTTGACCCCCTAAATTCGATTTTCCCACCTACTATCTTTTCAATTTGGCCACTCAAATTTCTTTCCTTTGAATTTAGCCCTTTTTTCAAATTTTCAATTTATTTAATATTACATTTTAATATATATATATATATTCATATATTTTGTTTTGTTTTGTTTTCCCCTATAATTTTTATTTCTTTTTTTTCTACTTTATTCGTTATATATATATATATATATATATATATTATTTTCATTATTTTATTTTCTTTCATACTTATTTTATTCCTTTATTTATTTTTTATTCATTATATGTATATTATAATTTTCTTTATTTTCTGTAGTTTTATATTTTCATTTTCATTTTTATTCTCTATCTTTACTTATTTTCTATTTCCTTTATATTTGTTTTGTTTCTTTATTTATTTTTATTTTATTTTATTTTTGTTTTTATTTATTTATTATATTATATTATTATCATGATCTTTATTTTATTTATTTTCTTCATTTCTTACTTTTACTTTTACTTATTTTATTTATTTTATTACTTTTTTTTATCTTTACATCATTTTTTTGTATTATTTTTATCCCATTTTATTTATTTATTTATTTATTTATTCCTTTTATTTTCTTTATTTTATTTACTTTCATTTCCTTTTTTTCCTCTAACACATTTCTCGACTTTTTAAGGGTACACTTTCAAAATGATCGGAGGTAAGTAATTTGGGATCGTATTTTTACCTTTTAATTTAAACTTTCGATTTTCTTAATTAAAGACAACTGAAAATTACGTAGTACCGAAAGGGCAGTTCAAGGGTGCTAACCCTTCCTTAACTGTAACCGACTCCCGAATCCGACATATCTTTGGTAAGATGCAGATTAGGTAAGCAATAAAGGTATCCGATCAACCTATTTATTTTTAAATAAATGATCAGTGGTGGCTCCAAACCATTTTCCTAAGTCGAAGCCTAATTCCTGGTCCACCTGAAAGACGGTTCCAACACCTTTAACACCCCCAACCCGTACCCGACCCAGATACGAATATGAGGTGTCACATTGACTTTTCAATGCTTTTACTCTTTGAAAAATCGTTTAAAATTTAAACTTTTACTTTTATTTTGGTAATGAAACCCTCATATAAAAGTTAATATTGAAAAATAATATTTCACGATGAAAATAAATACTTAATATATTTACATAAACTTTAAATAGTATAGTTACAAAATATATCAGAGCATTTGCGATTTAAACCTTTATAGTACATGCCAACAAAATATCAAGATAACAAAACCACCTACTGTTCAAATCGATCTGATATGATATTCTCCAGAAATATGTTGTCCCGACATAGCTTTACTCTTTTGTCTTCTTTGAACATATGTGTGAAAACACTCACACGCTAAGTCTTGACTTAGTGAGGCATAAATGAGCATAATAAAACATTAAAGCATTTACTTAAACATTTCAAAAAAAAATACTAAATAGAGAAACCAATATACATTTCATAAAAATAACTTATAAGGTTATGCATTGTTCAATTCATATCAATTTGTTTAACTAGCCCAACACATATCACTGAGAACTTAAGGTATGTGAGTACTTTGAGGTTGTACATTGTAATTGCAGTCGAAACTGCCGCGTAGAATTTGCACTGAAGTGCCACGTAGATTTATCTCGAAGGATCGCGTAGAATTGTCCCGAATGACCATATAGAAGTGTCCCGAAGGACCGCGTAGAACCATCGACTCTTGGCATGCCAATTATACCTCTAAATCTCATAGAATATACTTTGGGCTTTAGCCATATAAGTATTCATATAGCATTCTTCATTATCATTCATTCACATAGAACACATATACTCATAGTAACCAAATCAAAACAATGCTTATGAAATACAATTTAAGTAAAACAATAAAATTTAACATAAAATAATTCAGATAGTTTTCGATTGAAAACCTTTGAGGTTGGCTCATCGAAAGTCGTCCTCATATCGAATATAAAATAAGTAAGTTGCATTCACCTTTGTCTCACTTAAGTCCTAAGCTAATTTATTTTCACTTTAGTTCAACCTATTTACTATGTCGATTCGTTCGGTACGTGCTTTCGATCCAAATCTACACATTCACATGACCAAGATAAATATCGAAACTCAATTAACTGCTAACCAATTATCATTTACATCAACTAAATAAAACTCTGATTTCACAAATTTTTAAGCTGAACAGTATCGATACTCTACACCCAGTACTGATACTTACCTTCTATGGTACCAATATTGACCTCAGTATCGGTACCCAAATTGCATTATGGAATTTCCTTTTCCATTATAGTATTGATACCCCCTGTATCGATATTACCCTTCAATACCGATGTTGTTCATCCGATTCATATGATATAAATATTGTTCTTCCAGTACCGATACTCTTGACCAATATTTACTTATTTTACTTTGAATTTAACCCAAAATTCACCTAAATCTCATACTTCTAACTCTATTCATGCCCTTAAACTCATTAACACTTATCCCAACTAACTTACATCAATTAAAACCCCTTTAACATCTAAAATTCTTCATAGAACACTTAAAACTAAAAATCATACCCAATCTTCAACCATATTTCCAATCCTTTCTAATACTTCAAATATCTTATTCAAACCTTGGACAAGTCAAATATATCCTTAAAATCCCAACACTGATCAAATTTCATCAATTCCCTTAAAAACCCATTTTACCAAATTACCATTAATTCATCAATCTATTAACTTTTATTCATCTTTAAGCTTCCTTAAGCTTCTATACCACCCAAGGATTAAAAACTAACTCAAAAATGCAAGAAACAATCAACTTTAAAATCACTTAACTTATTAATGGTATTCACGGTAGAAAGGAAGCAGAGAAGATGAACAAATACTTCTAAGCTTTTCTTTTCCTTTTCCTCTATTTCCCACATGTTATAATAACTTTAAAATGAATTTTTAATTCATTTCATATCAAAAGATCACTTTACCCTTTCATCTTCAATCTTTAATAATAAGAACTAAATTAAAAGTACCAAATAAATCATTGAACATTTCAATTTATAAAAAGTAAACCGCTAAATTTTAAATCTTTACACTTTAATCACTGACCCGATGTTTGAGTATTAATTACCAGTGCAGTTACCCTAGTTATTATATAATTAATCTTAAATTGTATTCTTCAAATGGAAAAATACTCTTTAATAAATGGAAGAAAAAACCTAATAAAATCATTTAAGAGATGTAAGAAAGTAAGAGTAGCTGGTGGGCTTTACATTCATTAAAGTGAGTATTGCTTTACAATTCAAAGCCTAATAATTGATGCTGGGAGTATGGAGCATTTGATTTCATTCTCTCAATTGCATGGAATCAATTTAAATCAACTTATATTTTGCTTACATATTCAATTCTAGAAAAGTTAACAGTAAAATAATTCAGACATTTTTCTTTTTTGAAGGTAATAATTTAGACAATTTTATTCCAAGAAATTAATAGCAATTCGAAATTCAAAATCGATAATTGTTCAGAGTTATAAGCTAAGAAAACAATATGACAACATCATCCATGAAAAAGAAGAATTCTGCTATTTTCCCAGAAAATGATCATTCGCTTTCATGTTATTTGAATTATTATTATTTTAATAATCTCAACTTTTCAATTTTTTGTCCCTTGGCATGATTCTCAACAAGAAGCAAAACCCAGAATTTTTTTTCTTCTAGCTCATGGTGGGGATTTTGAAAATCTGATCATGCAAGTGTAGCTGAGAAAGAAAACTGGCAGTATGAGCAGCTTGAAGAAAGTTGGTCAATGGTATTATTTTAAAGAAGCTGTCCACATGATTGTATTGTGTGAGCTTTGCTTCTGCCTGCCCCCACTCCCAACATAAACAAAACAACTTTCCTCTGCGACTCCTTTTTGCTTTTTATACTTTTTAAAACATAAAAAGACAGTTAAAAGGAGCAACACAGAGCCTAGAAACTAATAGCCTACAAGACTACCACATCCAAATTCCAAAACATAGTCTCTCTCTCTCTCTCTCCTATTTGAAATGAACCCACAATTCCACAAATTCAAAGCTTAAGACTTTGCTATATATCATATCCCTTTCTTCATGTTTTGAAGAAATTTCTTCCGTTACAAGGAACAGTAAAAAGCTATTATTATTGTTTTGAAAAGAAACAAGCGATGAAGAAGCTTCTGACTCTGTTCCTTTTCCTTGTTTCTATTCATGAAACCATTATTGTTTCAGCATCAGCCGTGCAAGGCGGCCCTCTTGCTCCCTCTTTATCCCCTGTTTCGTCATCCTTTTCCAGTCCCGTCTATGCTTCAATGTCTGCATTTTCTCCAGGTAGAACTACTTCAAAATTTAGTAATTGAACTGCCCATTCCGTCTCTCATTTTTTTTTACTCTGTTAACTAGTGGACATAAAGCACTTGTTTTTTTCCGACTGGCTAGGTTGTTTTCTGGTTAGACTTTAAAGAAAGTCTTATCCGAGTTCAAATTTTCATTCGGTGCATTTAATAACTTGAGTTTGAACAGTGTATGATTCTAAAATTACTTAATCTCTTCCCATTTCTAAAACCGGAAAGCATTTTGCTTGGAGGAGGAAGTTTTCATTTTTATGCTAAAAAAAGTCTGCTTTTGACTCTATAAAATGGTTATTGAGATAGCAGGATTTCAACTGGGAAGCGAGGAACACAAAAAGAAGGATCCACCCAAGAAAATGTTAATTGCTCTCATTCTTGCTTGCTCTTCCTTGGCTGCAATTATCTCTTCGTTGTTTTGTTTATGGGTTTATTACAATAAGAATTCACACAAATCCACCAGAAATGATGGCAAGAGCTCAGGTATATTCTTTTCAGCCCATACTCTGTTCATTTTTTCTTCATAGTTCTGGGACTTTGAGAGTTTAGGTTTAGCACTGATGCTTATTTCCCTATGTTTCCCCTGCTTTCTGTGGTTTTGAATTTGAATATGCCGAAAAAGGGACTGGTTTGACACCATTTTTTGGTAAATTCAAGCCCACAAGGACAGTTTCTAAGGAGAGTAATACTTCGTTCATGGATTATAAGATGCTTGAAAAATCTACAGACAAGTTTCATGAAGGTAATATTCTGGGTGAGGGTGGATTTGGGTGTGTTTACAAGGCACAATTCGATGCTGGTACTTTCGCTGCTGTTAAGAAGCTGGACTGTAAAAATCAGGATGCAGAAAAAGAATTTCAGGTATTAGTTAAAAAAAAAGATTTATCAGTCCCTTTTATGTGTTTTCCAGGATTTCGTATCTTTTTTGATGTTGAGTTACTGTATGGAATTGCAGAATGAGGTGAATTTGCTATGTAAATTTAAGCATCCCAACATAATTTCACTGTTGGGTTTCAGCAGTGAAAATGAATCAAGGTTTATTGTATATGAATTAATGCATAATGGTTCCTTGGAAACTCAGATACACGGTAAGTACTCTCTTTCTCTCTTCGACTCTCATGAACAACTTTTAAGAACTGAACAATTTGTTTCTGGAAAATTTTAAATTACATCTCAGGACCTTCTCAGGGGTCGTCATTAACATGGGATAGAAGGATGAAAATTGCTTTGGATACAGCTAGGTAAGGCTTTGTTTTCATTTTTACTTTTTCCTCTTAGTTAATGAATATGATTTAATAAAATAACAATTGTTGACCAGAGGATTGGAGCATCTTCATGAACATTGCAACCCACCAGTCATCCATAGAGATCTGAAACCATCTAATATTCTTTTGGATTCAAACTTCAACGCAAAGGTAACGATTATGCTGCTGGACTTTCATTATGAATGTCTTGTATATCTATTGAAGCTCACTTCCTTTCCATTTCGTCTCGATACAGCTCTCGGATTTCGGCCTTGCAGTAAATGATGCAGCCCATAACAAAAATAATTTGAAGCTTTCGGGTACTTTAGGTTACGTTGCCCCAGAATACCTTTTAGATGGTATGTTCTGCAAATTATCTGAAAGTGAAGTTTATAGATAAGGAGCTTAAATGTATTATCTGGTTTTTTGTAGGTAAATTAACAGATAAAAGCGATGTGTATGCATTTGGTGTTGTGCTGCTGGAACTTCTATTGGGAAGAAAGCCCGTGGAAAAACTGGCACCAGCTCAGTGCCAATCTATTGTCACATGGGTATGTATGCCTTGCTCTTACGATGGTTCACGTTAAAAAAAATGAAGGATTGTTTCAAAATCTGATGCCATATCTATTATTGAATGCAGGCCATGCCTCAGCTTACTGACAGATCTAAACTCCCAGACATCGTGGATCCTGTAATACGAAATACAATGGATCTAAAACACTTGTATCAGGTTGGTAAGCTAATAGTGACAAAAGCATTGTCTTCGTTTATAAAATTGCCTGCTATGCCAGACAAGTCTCACTGGTTACGGTTAGGTTACGTAGGAATGAGTGAGCTTAGACCCCATTTGTTCATTTTGCAGACTGATTTGCTTTGTTTTGCTGAATTTGACTCTATTCCCTCTGTTACTATCTTGGAAATTAAAATGTGGAATTGTACTATACAGGTTGCTGCTGTTGCCGTGCTGTGTGTGCAACCCGAACCGGGCTATCGGCCGTTGATAGCCGATGTTCTCCACTCGCTTATCCCTCTTGTTCCTATGGAACTTGGAGGGACTCTAAGAGTTACACAAGCTGCAGCCCCTTAACACCAAAAACTACCCCATGTGTGTTTGACATGTCTCCAAATCATACATGCACATCAGTTCCATAGCCCATTGTATGCAAAGCATTTGATGATAATGTATACCTTTGGGGGTGAAGAGTGAGGATTAGCTGGTTGAGCTGCTGTGGAAGATTTTCTGATTGTTAATATCTTTTGTAAATTGCACTAAATTTGAAAATGCTTTATACAGCAATCTTAGGTTTATTTGTTCATACGATGATAATTTGGTCAAAGTTTGAATTTCCGAACTTAAATGAGAAGTTACATTTACCTTTAAAATTTTGTTTTATCAACAAATCATTGATATAATGATAAAAGAAAACTTACATTATTATCAAATCTTTAATTAAGATCCGATAATAGGTTTCAATGGCTAAAAAATGATTAAAAAGATAAAAGTAAATATAGAAAGAGCATAGCAGATACGATGATATAAGCGATAATTATAGTGCATATTAGGCACACCTGCACGGGACTTGGAAGGTGGTGAGAGGCAAAAGAAATATTATTTTGTAGAAATTAATGGGTTATTTAATTTTATTTTTATGACACACACAACCACAGTCCAGAAGGTGACGAGATGCAGGGTAAACGTGTGCATTGGTTGCTAAACAAAGACGAGTGGTCATCAACGCAAAGCGTTTTAAATAAGGAAAAGAGGATATATATGATTTAAGATGGCCGTATGGTTTCTTTTTTGTAATGTCACCATGAGTAGGAAGCAATAAATACAAGACTAATTTTATTGGAGGGACCATACATTTGATTTTGTTTTTGTTTTTCTATCAAAGGAAATAGAGATGTACAAGAAAAATCAAGACTACCATATACACCTACAGGATGAACCTAGGGTGCGGTCAGAACAATTATTCATGAAAACTTCAAATTCTTATATAATTTAAATTATATATATATATATATATATTATTGATAATATGTTTTTATCTTCTAAAATTTTATAAGTTCATCTTTCTAACATAAAACCCTACATCCCCTGTAGACCGATCCCGAGAAAACCAACATATGACCTGATAATCAAAAGGGTTAGCATAAAATAAGACATCTAAAGAAAATAACATAAAGTTGTAGAAATAAATGAAATACGATAACTAAATTTCAACATTTCTCTACCAACACAGTAACTCTTTATTGTTTGAGACAAAGTTATAATAATCAATAATGCTTTCCAGATGCCGTGTTTACTGGAAAACTTCAAAATTTCCACATTCAACAAAACAAACTAGAGATTGCAAATTGCCTCTATCAAAACTTGAAATAAATGAGTGTTTAAGGCCACACATTATTACAAAATCTTTTTCATAAAATCACTTCACTTGATCATGGTTTTGGTTCAAATCACTTGACAAGTTTTCCTTAATTTTAACCGACATTGTGGTAAGAATCAATGATGGCATCTGCAAGGTATTCACACTTGGCCAACGATAATCCTGCAAGGGATATCCTTCCATCCTTGGTCATATATACGTGCCACTTGTTGGTCATGCTATCACACTATTAAGAAGAAGAAAAACCACCATTACAATAAGAATATTGTCATACGATGCCTCGGAAAATTCAAAATATGATACTTTACTATCAACATAATCCAATGTTCAGTCGAGCATCTAAAATTTTGAATCCATTTATCATGTTAACCAAAGGTTACCGTCTTAAAATACTGATTCGGTCTTAATCCAATTATGTTCTTATACTTCAAAGGCTTAAGAAAAACATTAATCCAACATGAGGTTAGTAGTAATCAAATATGTGGTGATATTGCTATATTTCACTGTCATATAGGGTGCAATAAATGAATACCCCGGAAATTTCAAAAATACAAAGCAAAGGTGGGAGCTGGCTATTACCTGAGCTTTGTTTAAGCCAGTGAACGAAAACATTCCAATCTGCTTAAGAACGAATGACCAATCCTTCCCACTTTTATCTTTGGAAGAAAGATTGTCAAATAGTTTCTGTCTCACATTCATAATTCTCCCAGCCATCATTTCCATCTCTGCATTCCACTCCTTGAAGAGAGCTGCATCCCCAACAATACTGGCAACGATCCTAGCCCCATGAACAGGTGGATTTGAGTACATTGGTCGAGCAATTTTTTCAGTTGGCTCTTAACCCTGAAACAGAAATAAATAGAATATAACTCGATCCCTAAACAATATATCAATTACCATTCAAAAGGACTAGAAACCATAATGTAACATGTCAGACTCATTTGAACTAATATATTTGGAACACCTGGTGGAGGAACTAGGATGTGAAAAGACATAAAATAACTCTATGGTTATAACTTTGCCAACAGATACATAGTTGCAAATGAAAAAATAACCATCAATTAGTTTTTATAATGTCAGTTCTCTATGCATCAGAAAGAAAAGGGTACTAACGACATATTAAACTTGAGCAACATCTTGTCACTCTCAAGAATGAAGGGAAATTATATTTCCCCGCATGTAACACAGCATAATTACTGAAAAGTAAAAGAAATTTAGCTACATGGCCAATTGTGCATTTGCAAAGGCTCACTGCATAACATTCCACAATATCAAGCAAAACTTCACCTTGCAGCAGCATCTGATGATGAGCAAACAACATTAATTGCTCCAATCCTTTCTGCATAAAGGCCAAGATTTTTACTGTATGACTGAGCAGCAATGACCTCCATACCACGGGCCACAAACATCCTCACCGATGCTGCATCAGCATCAAGGCTCCCATTGCAAATCCCTATGACCAAAAGTATTTCAATAAGTTTTCATTAAAATATCATATTTTCCATCTTAATATAATATTACATTAGACACCACATTAATCAAGTTATGTATCACGAATTCAGGCAACTATTACCTGGTATGCAATATCAAAAAATGGAATATGGTTCTTCTCTTGGATGGCATCTGCAATTGTTTCCCACTGTTCAGGGGTCGGATCAATACCGGTTGGGTTGTGAGCACATCCGTGAAGAAGAATAAAAGATCCCTCAGGAGCTTCCTGCAAAGTGTGATTGAAGAATAAATTGTTTAAGGAAAGAAAGATGATATTGATATATTATCTAGTGTGCTTTTTAAGCCAGAAGATGACCTTGATGTCTGCTATCATCCCTTCAAAGTCCAAGCCAACCGTTTTTGGGTCGTAGTATCGGTATTCTGACCACGGGACCTTAGCATCATTGAAAATGTTCTTGTGATTACCTGTGACACAGTTTCATTAACTATGAGAATGCATAATATTGGACAAATTTCACAGATATGTTAAAAGAGGAAGACATTACTCACCCCATGTGGGAGATGATATCAGAACTTTTGCCCCAGGAAAATATCGTTCTATAAGCGCAGCAGCCAATCGAAGTGAACCAATCCCTGAAAGCCCTTGAACTGTTGCAACCTGGTTAAATGAAACACATACATTAAAATGAAACCAATTTCAATCTTCTCCAACTTCTCTTGAAATACTTCATTGTACCAAGCTAAATATTATATTTTTACAAGATAATAGCCAAAATTCTCACGTACTCTTTGTTGTTTTCTAACTGGGTTGTCTGCTCCAAACAACAGCTCTGCTGTCACCTTATTGAAAGCAGCCAAGCCTTCAATTGGGAGATACTACAAGTGAAACTAAATATAGTAAGCCTCCTTAAGGGATAAGATGACTGCTGTTATCCAATCAAATTAGTAAATCAAGTTACCTCTCGGTTTTCCCCCTTCTCCAGTAGAAGCTTATCTGCCTAGAAAATGGACAGTTTCCACATTAATTTCAACATAATATATAAACGTCAAAGAAATTAATACTCACTCGTGAAACAAGAAGAAAAAAAAAGAAAAGCTATGTCAATAGAGAACCTAGAGGAGGCCATCATTAATGAAATTGTACCACCTGCTTTAGGAAAGAACACTAACCTTTTTAACCACATCAAGAACATAGGGCTGCAGTTCTTCAGTTCGATAGGCCCCAACTCCAAGGTTGAGCTTCAACTCATGGTTGTCTGCTTTGAAAGCTTCAGAAACCCCAAGAATTGGATCAGGGGGAGCCATTGTTATACCTTCAAAACGAGACACTTCGGAAGCTACAACCATTGATATTCGACCAACAGACTGCAAACAACCAAATGACTCAGATGAAGAAGCAAACAAAGGGGGAAAAGAATAAAAATCCCATCTACCCACATTCAATCTATGTAAACCCTTTAACATAAACGGAGTTACTAGACACATAGATCAAGGGAAAAGGTCATTATAATCACTTAACCATACTGAACATGGAGGGTTGATCTAACATTGCAAATGGGACAGAAAGTTATAGGAAAAAAAGTACCTTTGTTTTCATGAAGGGATTGGTTTTCTCCTTTTTGAAGCACAAGCTGTATTTTCCAAGATTCAATTTTCCCTGTGAAAAACCCTCTCATTTCTCAGTGTAACCAAACAGTAACTAAAATAAAACAGAAAAGAAAAAAGTTAAAGAAAGGGATCGGGAATACCTTTTCAATTTCATGAGAAGAAAGTGAAGCTGAGGGAGCTGCGGATGCCAAAGATAGAACCGATGAAGCCATCTAGAATTCTAGCAACAAGGAGATGAGAATCTGATTAGATCAAAACTTCAACAAATGTGATGAAACTCACAGTAACGGTGACCACATACTGGGTTCAATGAGGAGAAGCGTAAATTACCCTAACATTCAACAATTTTTTAAGATACTTATACTTCGATCATTAAACTTTTAAAATTTACATTAAAGAATCTCCAACTCTGTTGACAAAAAATACATAGTTTTAATAGATAAATTTGATCACATGTCAAATCATATAAAATAAAAAAATGATAAAATTATTTAAAAAAAAGATCGATAGATTTGACAATTTATTTTGATATGTAAAAGAATGAAATATATAAGATAAAAATATAATTGTTGCTATTTGTTGATTTTTCTTAAAGAATATTTTTAATGTGACATTTTTAAATTTTAAAAAGACAAATTTAATGAGACGGAAGAAATATTATTTTAATAAAATAATACTTTTTAATATTATAAACTTATTGTTAAAAATTTAAAAATATTTTTTTTGATAAAAGCCGTAATTTTATTAAAATATAAAATATCT